CTACACTATTTGAAAATTCTGAATAATATTTTTTCCACACAAGAAATAAACACGGAAAAATTGTTTATGTTTGAGTTTGCGATAGTTTTAATCTATTGGTGAAGAAATATATTAGGTGCTGGAAATATTAGCCTAGCAACACTACTAGGCTAGGCCCAGCCTTACCTCGATTTAGGTTCTGTTATCAGACATAAAAACGGTCGACATGATATTTTCCGCTGCTTGTGAAATATAATATTTTATTACTACAATTAAACAAACAGTGTGTGAGTTATAAAAACTAATCTCATTAGAGAGGGCTCATTTTATCGCTCAAGATCGTATGGAGGATGTAAACAGTTCAGTAAATCAGATTAATTAATACTTTTATTTACTTAATTGTTGATGAATTAATATATTTTACCATGAGAGTTCATGGCATTGACTGGCAAGATAAAAAAGAAAAGAATGCTGCAGCGAAATCAGGATGCTCGACTGTTTAAAGTATACACAAAGTATGCCAGCCGTTGTTGAGAAAATAGAAATCACCTATGAGAAATAGTCTATATTTCTCATATTTTTTTCTCCTTTAGCGTAAAAAATAAAATGCATGTCAATACCTGTAAATGACCTGGTTTATAATAATTACAGTATTATGCATATGCATTTTTTCCGAACAATTTTTTTTTTAGTGAAATTTTGTCAGGAATGGTGCTTTAAGATTAAATTTATTGTGTTCAGTACTAAAAGTAATACAATAATACTATGGACTATTACTACAATATTACTATATTACTATATTACAATATTAATATTTTTTTTTAATTTTTTTAATTTTTTTATTTTTTTTAAATTTGTAGTTAAGTTTTTGCTCTCTTTGTTATTTTCTGCTTTTTAAATGTTTTTGTAGATAAGAACTGAACCACTTTGGAAATCAGTACTATGTATTGAAAGTGTATATTCAGTATAAAGAAAGAATAAATAAAATATTATTAGTACAATATTACTATGGATTATAACTACAATATTACTATATTACAATATTATTACTACAATATTACTATATTACAATATTATTACTATAATATTACTATGGATTACTACATGCAGATGTGTTAAGCTTAGCAGCATATTGCTTCCACATAAAATATTTTTATGATCCTAAAATGTACTGTAAAATCAATTTTTTTAGGTAGGAAACAATGTTGAACAAATGTGGGTTACCACACAAAACATAATAAATATCTGTAACCAAAAGTTCAATGTCATAAAAGATTGAGCCTTTGTATAGTGGAACAAAAAGCTAACAAAAGTTATGAATTAGAATTTGGCTTACTGCCATCATAGAGGTATAATAATTTACTTCATGCCTCCAGGCTGCCATCTAGTTGGATATTAACTAAACTAGCCCCTAAGCATTAAAATAGTAATAGAAATGAAATTCAAAATTACATAGGCATACTGATTGCATTAAATCTTCTGCCTTTGTAAACTTTTAGAAATATTTATACTGCAGTTGGAGATCTACTTTTCAACTCATTGCCCCGTAGAATATTTTCTGAATAAGGAGTTTCGGAGTAATTGTTCAAAGTCAACATGGATTCATGGCAATGAACTATTGTTATTCAGTTGTCCAGTGCCATCCACAACTAAAACTTCAAAAGGCCTCCTAGAATTGAGCGGGGAAAAGGCTTTCAACCTATTTCCCATGGCATACTGAACCTGGATTTGGATAAACTTACTCCAACAAAACAGGTTCTTGCTGTATGTTGTTGTAAACGCTGAGCTACTTCATATTCCGACAATATCAAATATTTTATTTGATAAATCAATCCTGACGTCATCACTGCAACTTCCAATGTAATTTGCCTATTACCCACAATCCAATAATTTTTCAATTAGTGGATGCTTGACTTGATGTTTTTTAGGTTCGTGTGCAAAAAAAATTCCTCATTTTTTCGTCACTGCGAAGATATCGCACACCGCGATGAAAATTAAATTGTAATTGAAAATTACCAAGAAAATTACTTTCGTAAAACAAGGTTAATTAGAACCCGAAGAAAGAATACTTCAAATTCAATATTAAGTATGAACAATAAAGGAATTTCTTGAATCAAAAGACCCACATAAACTAAACAAACTGAACGTTTAATAGGAATATTCTAGACCTATTTTAAAAGACTCAAGGAATGAAATTAGGTGCAAGCTTACGGCCAGGTAGGCCGCCGAGGCCTCCTCCCTACAGTAGGTCGTACAGTAGCCTAGCCTTGTTATGAATCATTGCACGATTTTACCTGTCTGCACCGACCAAAAAGTGACTACTGTATTCTCTTAAATGCTTTAAGAAATGTTTATTTCTTTGACGAATGTCTACCAAAATAGCATTTACAAACAAGTTCCTCTAACACAATAAAATAGTTTTAATATTCATCATATTCGTACTGTGTAACGTTGTTGGCTTTGTGATTGAGTTAACATGCGTTACAGAAGTGCAAATCAGCATACGCACAGCTAAATGTAAATACGCACACAGTACTGTATACTGATCATATCACTATAGCAACCGATGACTGCTACAATAGTTGGTTATCGAAACTAACGTTAAAAGACGGCGATTGACTTACAAAGCAGAGCATGCATCGTACACTAGCAGAAAATTATTATACTTAGGTTAGATTTAATGTATTAAAAAATTTCCTTCGGGCCTTGCAGGCAATCATGAAATTTTTCAAGCATTAAATCTAACCTTCGTATAATAATTTTCCTATAGTAGTCAAAGTATAGTATGTCAAAGGTCATATCCCGTAAAATATCAAATTTTAGACTTTTTTACCCCAAAATGGTATTTTGAAGATAGTACGTTAATAAAAGATTCAATCTGAATATATTTGGTATCATACGACAGCTATGAAAATGATGTGTATGATAACACATTATGTTAATGTTGTAACCCAAAAATTACTGGAAAACATATATTTTATGACTTTTTTTTTGGCTAAATTAAATAATACATTATTTATGAAAAATACAAAGCTAACTCACGACGACGTTTCTATGATTTTACAAACAGTGGCTGGATTGACAGACTATGGGTTGGCTTTGGTCTTGGACCTTGTCATTTAAGGTGCACAATCGCGCTCGCGCACCATCGAGCAACTAAACTGCAATCGAGGGGTGCAAAAAATAGCTCGCCCTCGAAATGCCGACGCAATTTTTGCTGACCACGGCAATTATTTACCAACGTAAAAGATGCTAGGCCTAGGTCTTTATACCGATATTGTGGGTCATTATACTTTTTTATGTACAATGTACGAATTTCTACAAACCGAACAAACAGTTAATAAACAAAAATTTCTGGACGAAATAACGCAATAATCACATTGCTGTCTAGGAATTAACAACTAATGATGTAGGCCTAGCACAACACCCTGTGAATGAACCGTTCGTACTGCTTTCTCAGTCCCAATAGCGTACTGCTGCCTGAGATCATCCATGGATTTAAAATGACACACCAATAAATGATAAAGTTACAAGGTTAGATCAAGTGAAAATTACAACTTCCATTGTTTAATAAAGTGCATTATCGCTCCTTAAAAATTGATTAAAACAACCTGAAGACAGAACTCAAAGCAAGTTTCTACGATGGCTGACATTTTTAATAGTAGACGTTTATTCGGATTTGGATGTCGTTTGATTCATCAGTTGAAATTACAAATGCATATAGCTTCACTTTTTCTTCAAACAAGACACTTTTGAGAAACATGTTGCTAATTTAATTACAGAGGAAATTTGTAGAGAATAAAATTTTAATTTGTTAGATTTATTTAGATTTAATTTATAAATATAGGCGAAATACACTGAGTTCGTTCTATCGCAGCAAGCTGTCACGCAATGAAACTTTGGGCAATCTGACGTCGTCACAGCCAAGCATATGTTTGCACATGACCCCACGAAAAACATTAACCAATTAGCTGGCAGAGTTTAGTAGGTGTGACCTGATGTCTGATGTTTACAACAACCAACTGACCAGCAAGTGGCATCGTGACTACGAAGAATGTGTTGGGTTTAGGGGAAAAATATCAGACCGAAAATGCACGTAAAAACAATATAAAAAGCATTTGTTTTATTGGTAAATAAATTTGCTGTACAGTACAACAAAACAGGTACTGTACACTGTTTGTATGGTAACTATTTTTTCGTAGGCTAGGCCTAGCCATACCGAACCCACGGGACACTTGCTAGCTAGGCCTATGCCTACTTCACCAGCTAGCCTACAACGTAAACAAGCTTGTTCGGAAAGGGTTCAATAGATATGTTACACTAACTAAACTTTCCGGAAATCCAAACATCGTAACCGGTCCAGAGGTGGGGGAGGGGGGTTGGTATTGGGAGAGTGCACTTTTACGTTCATCTGCAGTATTTCTTTAATCTCCCCACCACCCACGCCATCCCGCAAAATTTGTTGTGTTTTATTGCTCGCCTGTCACAACGACCACACAGACAGGGTCTGTGTGGTCGTTGCGCACAGAATGGGCTATAGGTCTCTCTTGTGTTTCTTATGCGGGGATGGTAGGCCATGGATCATGGGTAGAAAAATATCTGCCAAAATTAACCATACAGTGGTTTAAGTGTCCGGGCCAAGGACTATCTCTGGGAAGTCTACCTACGCCCAGACAAAATCCGTCTGTACTGTGTAGGCCCAATGCGATAGCTAACTTAGATAGGACAGTACCACAGCGGTTGAGCCTACACTAAGGATCGTATTCATAATGTATTGAATGATTGACAGCGATGAGTAGGCTAAAGATATATTTGTCATTTTGACAGTTTTACAGTCGTGATTTCAGCAAGTAAAACAAAACAAATTTCCATCACAACCTATAAACTAGATAGTAGTAAGTAGTACACACACTAGCCTAGGATGATTCCAGTACTTTTCCTTGGGCTAGCAAACAATTTTATTAGGCCTTAATTATGAAGGTACAGATAAGTACATACTAAAATGTAAAAGTAATACTTACTGAGTATCCACATGATAATGAGTAGCAAAATAGTGGTGAATGGAAGGGCTTGGGTTGAGTCCCAGTGCCAAGCAACAGAATTCACAATACTCCATACAAAAAAGAAAGGTACTGAAAAAAATAGGATAGAATAAATTTGGGTTTATACGAGAGGAACTACGGACATTAGAGAAATATATTTGTATTATCATACTCCAATAATAATAATAACTCAAAATATTAAATAAATTACCTGAGAATAAGGATGATGTAAGAATTATATTCCACACCCAACTTTCACCTCCTAGACGTTTATACATGTTGCTACTGACATACCCTGATATGCCTGTCAAATTAAGAACATAAACAGAATATCACAGTTGCAAATAAAGAGTATGGAATATAAATAATGAATAAATAGTATTCTCTATTAGGCTGGCTTTTTAATTTCAGGAAGTATTGCTTGAATAATCAGATGAGCCGGTCATAAAGCAGGGTCAATTTTCTTTCATAGCTTACATTGGGAATGATTACTTTAAACGCCCTAAGCTGAATCGGTTCAAGTTGGTTAGATTGACAGTTAGTAAAGCCAAGTACCCCAAACTAGGGCAGCATATTCAAGAACAGGTCTGTATTAGGGCATTTTGGTTAAGGCCAGCCAGACAACATTTTAAGAAAGTAAAGTCTGAAATTAGAAAACAATGTACTGTACGTTGCTAAAATTGGAAGCGTGTAAACCTATTACAAACTAATGTATATTATTATTAAAAATTGTACATAGTTTTCTATTTTTTCCAATTTCAAAAATTACAGTTAGTCAATTGAGTTTTATAAAGCCATTATTAAACAATAATTATATAGCCTATAGACACGGATAGGTCTATCTCATTTGTAAGTAGTGATACCACGAGATTACAAACTACAATGTTAAGTTGATGCAATCTCACCATGATGTCATGATAATGATAAATTAAGTAAATGAAATTTATTGTGAAATAAAAATGCTAATTAAGGTTCTGTGTGCTTCCTATCTCCCTAGTCCTTTTTGATCGTAAATAAGACAGTAGTATTTCCACTCACTATAGTGTAGTTGCAATACTACTCGCACAAAAGTGAAATTCAAAAAGAAGAGAAAAGGGAAAAAAAACCTTGATTTTAAAAGTACTGCACTGAACATGCAATGAGACTAAATTAGAGTAACTGTTTTAAATTTATCTTATTTGTTTTTCATGATTTGAATATGTCACAATCTTGTTTTATCAAACAAAAATATGTGCAATAACGTTACAACAGTTCTTAATTATTATTTTTAATTCTGATCACTGTTCTTTGAGAATTGATTTTCCTTCTACAAACAACCAGACTTATGCTAGTTCAATCACCAGTTCTAGAACTTTATACAATTTTAAATGCCTTAATATTAATGATTTTAATTCAACTCTTTTTTTCTATTCCTTGGAATATACTTAATTTTGCTTGTGATGTTAATGAAGCTGGTTTATACTTTAATTGAGGGTGCTATTAAAGACCTTGTTCCAGTTAGTCAGCCTAAACGTAAACTGTCACCATGGTGTTATCATGAAAGCCAAAGAAAGTTATTGCTGATTAAAAAAGAAAAGGGAACAGGCTTGATATTGAAAACTTTTAGAATGGCTAAAACTAATTTTAAGAAAATTTGTAGATTGGCATACCAAAACTATGTGAATTCTTTGTCATGTGGTATGAGTAAAAATCCAAGCACTTTTGGATTTGGGTCAACTCCTCCTGTTAATATTAATTTTGACAACGATAGTGCTAATACACCATTTGCTAAAGCTAATTTGTTCAATAATTATTTTTATTCTCTTTTTCGATGTTACGTATGTATTAGGTCAAAGGTCACCACAAATTTAACCCAACCTTAATTTTACGAATCCCAATTTATGTACGCCCTCCGGTCCCGTACCGTACATAAAATCGAGGTTCTAATGTAATAATTTAAAAGAATAGAAACAATCATATATACATTTATATGGGCCTTTATGAGTATATAAATAATAAGTCATAGGTGTTGAAGTGACTATGATCCCACGCCTATTTACATATGCCTACTTTGTATTTTAATTGCTCCAGGCTTGTAATTTGAGACCTATGAATAGAATGGAATGTATATAGACAAAGCAAAAATCCACTCTGTGTATTCTTTGATTTTAAGAGTTGTTTGTGCATCATAAGCATTCTTGAACAAAACATGCTGGCCTCTGCACTTTCAAACCTAACTGAGATAATGTAGAGGGGGTGTAAGACTAACAAGCCAATTGTTAACAAGTATCTGGCTATTTTCTGAGTGTTCACTGAATCTGGTGGCATTGAGTATTGACATGGGGAGAGGGAGACTGATAAGGAATAAAGGATTAAGTGGCCGCATTGACATGATGCGATGTCTAACCACTTGCATCACCAACGGCGGATTCGGGAGTAGGTTCGAGGGCATGTTGCTTTGTTGAAAACTTTCTTTGGAAAACACATTTTTATAGGCTGAAAGTGCCATTTTCAGGAATCTGGAGGGTCTATTTATAAAATTTGTTCACCCCAGCAACAACCATGGTGGGGCCGAGATAAATGTGGGCCCTTTTTGAGGGTACACCCCTCATTGGGAATTTCTGGCCCTGGCATCTTTACTTAGTACAGATTTTTGCTCTAAAAATTTCAAGTGGTAGGATAGTGGAACCTGTGGTGCAAGTTTTTTTATTTTTTATCTCTCACCCTTTCCCTTGCTACTGCATTCCCTAATCATTTCCTAAGGCCTATCATAGTCCATACAGCCCCAGTTGCCATGCAGTTATGGATCCTAAGGTCTAAGTTTGTCGTAGCCTTTGGATTGGATTGGATTGGATTTATTCGGTGTAAATACCAAGGATATTATTAATTCTTAAATATTCAATTTTAAGTGATGAAATAAATTTAGATTTTTTGGTGAGTAATTTTCATTCTGTAAAGATTTAGCCCAGAATTTCTCCAATTGGTAGGTCCTCCCCTGCAAGAAGCCCTAGGCACACAAGTAGGAAATTCCTTTTCTTCCCAATCTGTTTTAGGTTTGCTATTTAGGGCCTTTAGGTGGTTGATTAACTGAAACTATAATCAGCACATGCAAAAATACAAATAGCGAAGTATGTCGAAAAACAAGATTAAATTTTTTGTTTGTGAATGACATATAATTAAGTATAGGATAGTAGAAGGCTTAAAAAGGATTAACATCGTGTGAGTCCCACCTCTGATTTAGCTAAGTTTACCAAAAGCATATTACTACTAATAAGCATATTATCAACTGGTAGCGCCAATGGAGAATGGAGCATCCCCTCCCATCGAGGAGCTCAACACACTTTGTCGGTGAGAAAAGTAGTAGAAGTCATGATGCGATCATGTTTGTGTTTGAGCGAACGGCAGGCCTACAATATGATTAATTTGATTGTTTTTATATAATAAACATTTTAAATATGATAATAATACTGTACAATGAAGAAAATAATAGATTTTGATAAGCATTACGATATACACAGCCCACATGGCTTCAATTGGGCGACGTTTTAGGCCTAGCTAGGCGAGAAAGCCATGCACACATTGTACGTATGCCTAAAAAATAATTATTGTACGAAAAAATCTGTTTACCAACAACCAATTTCCTTGGTTTGACAACGTACGTTAAATTTAGTTTCTGTTTCAAAGTTTTTACTTTCTAAGCAGTTTTTGAAGCAAAGAAATCTAGACCTAGGTCGGCAAAAAGTTGCCGTCCTTTGGCAATCCTGGCTCAACAATGTGGTCAGCGATTGCCGATGTGAAATTCATGGGCTGAATTCGGAATAGGGAGACCCGGTTTTCTGAGAGTATTTTATAAAAGGAAGAACAGGAATGTTTTTGGGAATTTTGAAAAAATTTTAGTGTGTTTTCTGGGCATTCGGAAATTCCACTATATTCTAAAAAATGATTTTAGTTAGCCACTTGAATCTGGAAATATGTCAAACAAAGGCATTTTATTGTTCCAAATACTCATGAATTTACCATTTCCCCAATCTTGTTCGGAGGTCAAAATAATGTAATGCTTGGTAACTTTGGAAAGCTTATAATATAAGCTTTAATTCTGATTGGTCAGTCATTTCATCAACACATGTTTCAGCCAATTACAAAGGGGTTTTCTTCTGTATACAAATCCAAACCTCCTTGACAACAATCGCGAAACTGACCTGCTGATTGGCTTATTTCAATCAGCTAAACATTTTTGGGGAATGGTTTTTTCGATCGAAGCGTGGGCATGGTAGCTGTGCATGTCATACTGTATGTTTTTACTAGCATCTACCCGTGAAATTGGTCACCCTTGATTGTCGACAGCAAAAATGCATTTTATTGATAATTTAACGCGATGCTCCTCACGTTGCATCGTATGACTTCCGATTTGTGGAAGGAAATGTGCCTTCCAAATTGGCATGGCTAATATGACACTTTATACATCATTTAGTTACATTAAACTTTCCACAGATACGAGATACAGTATGTACATTAGGCCAAGTAAAAAAAAATAATTGGTTAGCATCCTTTTGGTATCAAATTTCATGGTAGGGAGGGAGGTTTTTTTTTTTTTTTTTCCTCGTAGTACATGAAAAACCAGCGTTGGAAGGAAAATTAGCAAAACAAAGAAGAGGAAAACAACAGACGCCAAAATTGGATACAAGAAATCATGTAATTCATCTATATCAAGCATATAAGATTTGCCTATATGAATAACAGTCACATTGAAATCACTATATATGAAGTTTTAAAACATGCAACATTGTATATGTTTACAGAACTGATGATATCGATAACAGGTTTACAAAGCATTCCATCCTAAGTGGCGAGTGTAATTGCGGTTAGATGTGAAATTAAAAATAAAAATAACAACAGCAAAACAAGAAGATTGAAGTTTGTCATAGTCGTATAATAATTCATTGTCCATTCGTAAACAGAAACGTAATTTTTGAACTGGCATTTTGTACAATTGATTACTATTTGTGATTATTTATGTGATTGAGTATGTACATATAGTGATAATATTCAATAGTGAATACTGTTAATGAGTTTGACTAGTATCATGTGCTATGTTTATGCTGATAAACACTTTGACATCTAGTTGGACCAGCTGTTTGGAAAC